AAATGTGATAACAATTATATAATCAATTATTTAATGTAATTGTATTGTACCATGGGGTTGCTTGATAACATTGCGCAAGCTCTGGTACCATGCCTTGCTAAGCTCATCAAGTTCCTCAAGTTGGTGCAATGGGTACAGTCTGCTGATGATCCCTAAATTCATGCACTTGATAACTGCAATTTAAAGAACTCAAGATGTTGAAGTTGAGGGCACTATACACATTTCTCATGCCATTGATATGAGAAATTAAATTATTATGGTGCACTGACACGTATAAAAAATATATTACACTTTGCTATTCTAAAGGACATGAAAATCAATTCCAACACAATAATTATTGTGATAATGATTGATATTTATAATAGTCTTATATTATGGAGGCTTTTCCAAAAATATGGCAATCATTAAGGTCTAGGAACTATTTTGGAAACAATCATATTAAGATAAAGTTACTATCTCATAAAACAAACTAGAAATACATTCAAACCCCAAAAAAATAAGGAAAATTACAATTATAAGAAATAATTTTTAAAAAGGGGTGGGGGAGCTCTATGCTGAATTAAAAGTATTTCCAGTTTGTATTGAATTTGACTATATTACTTTTGGCATGATGTATTGCATTACATTACTAAAATTTACATAAAGGGGAAGGGGAGAAATAAACATGTATAATAAACAATGAATCTATTGAGCAACATTCAAACTAAGGAACAAGGCTAACACGTCAGTCATTACCACATCCTTCCTGTGGCTGACACATCAAAAATTGCACTGAAAAGTCTTCTTAGCATCCATGAAATGACATGGAAGCAATATCCTTTTACAAAAAGTCACAATTTAGATATTATCACACAAATCACTCTTCAATCAATCAATCAATCGATCAATACAATCAATCAATCATTCATTCAATCATATTTTATTCTGAAGTTTTAAAAAACCTTTCAAATTGAAGTTAAGCAATGAAATCTAATAAAGGTTATTTACATATTAGAACCCCAAATCATCAAATTGAATTACATGGGTCCCAAGTTGGAAGAAATCCCTTTCTGGGAGATCTGGTTCAATGAGCTTTCTTAATGCATTAAATTCAATTTTTCTGTGCATGGTGATTACCCATCAGCACTGACCTCCGTGAGACAATTGATATTAAAGTAGTAAAAACAAGCAAATTTCATGAATTTATGTGGAGATTGGCTATTTTCCGGCAGGTTCTGGCTTGTTTGCGGGATGTCGCTCCCATTTCTGGGAGACTCCCGCAACTTTGGGGGCTGAAAGACATCAGAATACAAGACAAAAAGACACCAAAAAAAGAAATAAAAGAAAGGGAGGGCCTAGAAGTTAGTGAGAGTGATATCGTCACAGGTTTTAAAATTCGATTCAAAATTTATTTTAGGAAAAGTAAACAATAAAGTACATGATGCTGTCTTTCATGGACTACCAAAAACAACATGCAGATATCATGTTTTTTTTATTGAATTTACAGGCATGAGTACTTACTGACTTTCTCCAACCTGTATACCTTGGCATTGGTACCGGGGATGACCTCATCATCTGGGGACACCAGGTTACAGATGATGTAGCTTATGATTCGCTGCTGCTCTGCGGTACTCAGAAACTCAGCTTCTATAGATACAAAAACATAAAATAAAATACAATACTAATTGAAAATATGCATTTTTGCTATCCTTGTTTAATTAAGAAAAAATGCACCTTTATTCCAAAGTATTTTGAAGAAAATTTGCTATTATTAGGATTATCATTGGGATTGTTATTAGGATAGTTATAGACTGTTCACATTACTATTAGGATTATCGGATTGTTTTAAGATCATTATGAATATTTAAATAATTTTTATGATTATCATGGGTATTTTATGGATTATTATTAGTATCAATATTATGATTTTTCAGTATTTAGGACTATTATTCACACTAATGGTAGAGTATTATGATTCTGGATACTGTAAATATAGGATTAGTAGTGAAAGTACCTCAATTAACACAGTAAGCTACAGTTTGAATGACGTGCTTTCCAAATTTCCCATAATTCCTCACCTTCTTGATCAAAAGAATCTTTGTGCTTTATTGTAAATTCTGCTAGAGTGCCATCTTTGCATCGTTTTTTCAGGCATGCTTTCTCTGCCCCTTCCAGCATTCGTTCCTTAGTGACACCAATATAAACTAAAACTGGTTTGCTTTTTCCGTTCTTCGCTAGTCTGGTCCTTACCCCTGCCCCGTTCTGGCTCACTGGAAGACAGAGT